TTTATTGTTTATTTATTTGAATAGGGACAATGCACATTAATGAACATCAGTATAAAAACAAATGTAAATATGCTGGATTATAGCTACAAAGCTAGTTTTCATCCGTAGACCCTAGGCAGGCAAATACATAAGAAAGAACATAACATACAATACAAGCATCACAAGGAAATGTTAAGAGTTTAGTGGTTACATGACTGGTTTGTTTTCATCTGTAGTTTGAGTTGAGCTCTGAAGCTGATCAGTGTAGGGCTCTCCCGTATGTGCAGAGGAAGACTGTTCCAGATGTTAGTGGCTCTCACAGAGAGAGTGTTCTGACCAAAAGTTGTTCTTCTGTGAGGAACCTCACAGTCTCCTCTGGAGGAGGCCCTGCTTCTCAGGCCACTTCAAGTCTTGTGTTTGAACAGAGAAGACACAGGAGGTGGGGCTAGTCCATGTAGCGCTTTATAATTGAAGCATACATACTTAAAATTTATAAAATTTTCTAAATTTACAAGATTGTACTTGTTCAAAATATTACATACATGGAAAGAATTAGGTTTTTGGTCAAAAAACTTTTAGAGATTTTTTGTACAGTGATTCAATAAATTTTAAATTGGTAACTGTGGTGAGAGACCAACTTGTGATGCAGTATTCAATGTGAGATAAAATCATTGAGTGGAGAACAATTCTAGCAGCACCAAGTGTTAAAAAAGACCTGATTTGTTTAAAATTTTTAAGGTTAAATTTGACAGTATTGGCAAGTTTTTTTTATATGATTTTTAAAGGACAAAGTGGAATCAAGTATCACGCCAAGGTACTTGAATTCTGTGACAAGTTGTAATTCGTCTCCTCTCAAGAATACTCCGGAGCTTTTTATTTCTTTTGATTGCTTTGAGAACATCAAACAGACCGTTTTTTTTTTTTAAATTGAAGAGCAAACATGATTTAAAAAGCCAGTCATGTACTTGCTCCATGGCTGAGGTCAGATTAGAAGCTGCCTCTTTAACACTTCTTGCATGAGTATAAATTACAGCGTCATCTGCATACATTAGAAAATTCACACTATTACATGTTTTGGGAAGATCATTTATGTACAGGGAGAATAACAGGGGACCAAGTATTGATCCTTGCAGCACACCGACAGAGACATCCAGGACCGATGATTTTATACTGTCAATTTTTACACATTGTTTTCTTGAGGATAGGTATGATTTAAGCCACTGAATTGCCTCTGGTGAGAAATTGAAGTCTGACAATTTTGTTAGAAGAATTTCATGGTTGACAGTGTCGAAAGCCTTTTTAAGGTCAAGGAACACTGCACCAACACAGGGGTATATATCCAATTGACTTTTCACCTTTTCTATAAAAAAGCTGTTTGCTGATTCAGTGGAGTGGTTTGCTCTGAAGCCAAATTGCATTGCATGTAGGTTAAAGGGACTATTATTTAAATGTTCATGTATGATATTTGCTACCCATCTCTCAACAACCGTGGAAACAACTGGAAGTATACAGATCGGTCGATAATTGGATGTATTTGAACTGTCACCAGATTTAAAGATTGGGGTGACTGTGGCCAGTTTCCAGGATGATGGGACAATTCTCTGTTTAAGGGATAAATTAACCATGTGAGTTATTGGAGCAATAAGGGACTCTTTGCATAATTTTAGGAGATGAGTGTCTAGTCCATGAATGTCTTTAGCTTTCGAAGTTTTTAGTGAACTAATAATTGTGGAAACTTCCGGCCCTGATATTTCGCGTAAATTAAAAACAGGCTGTGTGAGATCAATGGACCTTGGTTTAAGATCAGGAGATGGAAATAATTCGCTTATTTCTCTCACAGAATTTAGAAAATAATTATTAAATTCATTTGTCAATAGATCTGGATCAGTCACAGCAATATTGTTCATTTTCAACTCAATTTCTTGTTTTGCTTTTTTTATCCTTCCCTGTTAATTTATTTAAACTTTGCCAGATCTTTTTGGAATTTCCATTTGCTTCAGAAATTATGTTCATGAAAGAAGTTGCTTTAGCCTTTCGCATAATTTGAGTAACCTTATTTCTTAGTGAGGTAAATTTATGCCTGTCTGTGATGAGATGGGATTTCATATATTTTTTTAGTTGCTCATCTCTGTCTCTCATCCATTTCTTACATTCTTCATTCATCCATGGTCATAGATTTCTCTTTCTTTTGCTGTGGCTTCCCCTTTTGGTAAAGTTTAACATTACTTCGTTAATTTTCTTGTGAAATAGACAGCTGCTATTTTCAACATCTTTACTTTGAGCGATTTCGTTCCAATCACAGCTTTGCAGAGCTTCCACTAGATTTGGTAGTAATTTTTTGGGAATGATTGTTTTGGGTGAGACTTTTGCATTTGGCCTATATGAATCATTAAAACGTTTTTTTGTAAGTTTTCTTGAGAAGAAGATGGCATTATGGTCAGACAACCCAGTTACATAATTAAAGGTTTTGATAATTCTTCCAGGTTTATTTACAAGAAGCAAGTCTATCAAAGTTTTGGAGTGTGAAGTTATTCGAGTAGGTTGTTCTATTAACTGTTTAAAATTAAAATGCTCAGTGACTTGTTTCAGGTTCTTTCCAGCTTTCTTATCATTCCAGTTTACATTAAAATCTCCAATGATTATAATTTCTTTATTTAAATCACAATGATTAAGAAGAAGTTTTAAGTTGTCATAAAAATCCAATCTAGCAGATGGTTTGCGATACAAGCAAATTACAATAAAAGACATTGCAGGTGAGAGTGAAATTTCTACACCAACATACTGGAGCTGGATTTCTTCTGGCCAGTATATCAGTCTACATTTTAAAGCGCTTTTAACATAGAGAAGAACACCTCCACCCCTCCCATGTGCCCTGTCATTCCTATAAACATTATACTCTGGCATAGTTACCACTGAATCTGGAGAGTTGTCTGATAACCAGGTTTCAGAGAGCCCCAGAAAGTCGATGTTAGAGTTGCAGAGTAGATGTTGAAGCTCTTCATTTTTAGATGCCATACTCCGTATATTCAAGTGTCCGCCTAACAAGCCTTTTGGTTTGGCCTGCGGATCCCAGATTGTTTTTGCCTGGTTAAGTGTATGGAAAATCTTAGATGTCCGATGTTTTTTGAAAACAGGATTTCTCTCCTTCTTTTGTAGTGGAGGCCCGGCTAGCTGTGGCCCAGGTGGTGGAGGCCCGGCTAGCCGTGGCCCAGGTGGTGGAGGCCCGGCTAGCCGTGGCCCAGGTGGTGGAGGCCCGGTTAGCCGTGGCCCAGGTGGTGGAGGCCCGGCTAGCCGTGGCGTCAAGGTGGTGGAAGCACGGTTAGCCGTGGCACTGGTGGTGGAGGCCCGGCTAGCCGTGGCCCAGGTGGTGGAGGCCCGGCTAGCCGTGGCCCAGGTGGTGGAGGCCCGGTTAGCCGTGGCGTCAAGGTGGTGGAAGCACGGTTAGCCGTGGCCCAGGTGGTGGAGGCCCGGTTAGCCGTGGCCCAGGTGGTGGAGGCCCGGCTAGCCGTGGCGTCAAGGTGGTGGAGGCCCGGTTAGCCGTGGCCCAGGTGGTGGAGGCCCGGCTAGCCGTGGCGTCAAGGTGGTGGAAGCACGGTTAGCCGTGGCACTGGTGGTGGAGGCCCGGCTAGCCGTGGCCCAGGTGGTGGAGGCCCGGCTAGCCGTGGCCCAGGTGGTGGAGGCCCGGTTAGCCGTAGCCCACGTGGTGGAAGCCCGGTTAGCTGAAGTTGTAACCCAGGCAGCTGAGATAGGAACCAGGGTAGCTGTAATTGTAGCCTGGTTAGCTCAGGGGTTGGGCCTGCTAACTGAAGTCCAACATGGCATGTGCTCCTAGCCTGTCCAGGATTTATTTCAATATCACCAGCTAAAAGTAATATTAGCACAAGTTCCAAAGCCCCCAGGGATGATCTAGTTGTAAGTGAACGATCAAGTTTACCTGGGGGTGGCCTGGCATATCCAGAATTGAGAAATCTTGTGAACAAGAGGTATTGATTCCTCTTTACTGCGTATGGAGTTGAGTTTTCCATTTTCCGAGGGCCCGTTAAACTCCAGAAAAGGTAACAACATATAGCAATGAAAAATACACATGTTGATGGCACAATCCAAGGAAATTTGATGGTTTTATAGGTGCATATTTCTGATTGACTGATTGGTCAGGTGAAGTTTGTAGGTCTACTTTCTCACCTGAAAACATTTTAAAACAAATTTTTATGACAAACTATTAGTGGTTTGAAACTATAACATTTCTTCACTTCATTTACTCTGAGCTTTCTCGTGTTGATTTGTACTGCATGATTGTAACAGTACTTTGGCCCCCGTTGATGATGTATGCAAGTCTATAATTACAGAAAAGTAAACATATTTCCATGTTTCTCCAAACAGAAATGAACGGTGAGAAGGAGACTGATTCCTGCTGTGATCAGTTTAGCAGATCAGCACCGGCAGCCTTTAGTTAATGGGCTGATCTTAACCAGCCTCCACTGGTATCTTTCCCAGACCTGTTTGAACCTGAAGCCTCCACATACAAGCAGTTAACCAGTCTTATATCTCTGGAAGTTCATCTGACTAATGCATAGCTGTTGGATCTTAAGATCTTCAGACTCAACACAGAAAACTGTTGTTTCCATGAAGGTAGATGAACATCTGTGAAGCTACGTCGGCTATACAGTTTGTTCAGAAACATTTTATTTCACTCTAAAAAACAATTTTTGATTCTGAAGGAGGAAAGCAAAAATCAACATAAAATAATTTTAAAACTGAATTTACAACCAGATGGTCTGTCCGGATAGACTCTACAGCTTTGATGATAAAAGTGGCTGACAGTAGAGCAGTGACTGGTCTTTTATAACCTGTGATTTTAACATCACAGCTGCAGCGCATTCTGCAAGATTTAGGTCCACTCTGTTTATATCAGCATGAGGATGATTAAAGTGAGGTGTCCTTTCTTTAACCTACGATAGAAAGTCTTTCTGCTGTTTGTCTTTCCAGACCGCCTTCAGGATTATGTTGGAAAAGAGGAGGATTTCTCTGACCAGCAGCTCTGTGAGCAGGAGAGGAATTCCAGTTTGGACCAAGAGGAACCAGAAGCTCTGCAGATAAAAGAAGAGAAGAAAGAGCCAGAACATTCCTGGACAAAAGAGGAAACCTTGGATCTCTCTATAGGTGAGCAGGAAGAGCAGCTTGTTCTCAAGCAGCGGGCTGAAAATAAACGAGAAACTTTCCCCATGTTTGAGGTGTCCTTTCTTCAACCTACAAAAAAAAATCTTTCTGCTGTTTGTCTTTCAGACCGCCTGCAGGATTATGTTGGAAAAGAGGAGGATTTGCAGCAGCTCTATGAACAAGAGAGGAATTCCAGTTTGGACCAAGAGGAACCAGAAGCTCTGCAGATAAAAGAAGAGAAGAAAGAACCAGAACATTCCTGGACAAAAGAGGAAACCATGGAGCTCCCCATAGGTGAGCAGGAAGAGCAGCTTGTTCTGAAGCAGCGGACTAAAGATAAAGGAAAGAAACTGTCCCCATGTTTGACACGGAAAGAACACTTTCTAAAAAAGAAAAATGTTATGGTTCACGTGAAATCTCACACAGGTCAGAAGATTTATGAATGTTTGTCCTGTGGAAAAAGCTTCACTTATAAACATCATCTTGACACACACATGAGAATTCATACAGGAGAGAAGCCTTTTTCCTGCTCGATTTGTGGCAAAAGTTTTACTCGAAAACATCATTTGACTGGACACATGAGAATTCACTCAGATGAGAAACCTTATTCCTGTACCATTTGTAACAAAACTTTTAATGGGAAGACTACTTTGACTTTTCACATGAAAATTCACACAGGTGAGGATGTATTTTCCTGTAACATTTGTAACAAAATATTTACTAAAGAACATCATTTGACTCGACACATGGGAATTCACACAGGAGACAAACCGTTTTCCTGTACCCTTTGTAACAAAAAATTTAGTCGAGAACATCATTTGATTCGACACATGACAATTCACACATGTGAGAAACCTTATTCCTGTGACATTTGTAACAATAATTTTACTCGAAAGGATCATTTGACTTCTCACATGAGAATTCACACAGGTAAGAAACCTTTTTCCTGTACCATTTGTAACAAGACTTTTACTGACAAGAGTAGTTTGACTTCTCACATGAGAGTTCACTCAGCTGAGAGGCCTTTTGTATGTTTGGCCTGTGGAAAAAGCTTCACTGAGAAATCTAGTGTTGATAGACACATGAGAATTCACATAGGTGAGAAACCCTTTGTATGTTTGTCCTGTGGAAAAAGCTTCAGTTACAAGTCTAATCTTGACAGACACATGAGAATTCATACAGGTGAGAAACCCTTTGTATGTCTTTTCTGTAGAAAAAGCTTCACTTACAAGTCTAATTTTGACAGACACATGAGAATTCACTCAGTAGAGAAACCTTTTTCCTGTACCATTTGTAACAAGAAGTTTACTGACGAGAGTCATTTGACATCTCACACGAGAATTCACCCAGGTGAGAAACCGTTCTCCTGAATGATTTGTGACAGCGAATCATTCAGCGAATTCGTAACAGCAGTTAGACGCCACAGGAAGGAGCAGTTGAGTCGTTTTCCATGTTTGGTGATAAAATGTCAATCTAGAAACTGCTTCACCTGGTTGCATGAGAAAATCAAGGGTTAATGGTCTTTTTGGAGTAAAGTTTTTAAGAAAGCCATTATTTGGAAACACATTACATAGAAACTAGAACAGATTAGACGTTATATTCTAAACCTGAAGTCTCAGATGAAGATTTGGGACGTATATAAGTGTGTCATTCTCAGCTAACTATTAGCTGATTAATGTTTTTTAATGATTCTTTGAAAGTATAATTTTCCTTTGAACTACTTCTAATAGTTTTGGTCTTGATTCTTTGGATGTTATATTTTACCTGCTATGATTGAAATGAACTTTAACCTCTTTTATACCACTGATTCTATGTAATAAGTGTCTAATAAAGGTGCTGGAGATCTCAAAGCTCACATGGACCCTGAAAAACCTGACAAAGCTCTGAGAGGTGAGAGTTATTCTGCAAAGTTGACTGAGTACTTTGTTAGAATATTTGTTGAAGCTGTATTTTCTAATATAGAAGAGGACATATTTAGAACATGATTTTATTTATGTATTTTAATAGAGAGCTTTAATTGTGTAATTGGTTGTTACAGATTTTACTACAAAGGTTATTTCTGTATCATTTAGGTATAATAAAGCTGTTGATGAACCTTTGAGAAGCCTGTCTGAATCCGTCTGGAGGCTGGGCAAAGTGTCCTCTTTATGGAAATCTAAATATGCTCACCCTAATATATATACCTATTCTAAAAGAATTAGTTCTGTAGTTCCCATTTTTAAGCCAACTGATGTTTGCAGGAGCTGTTTTGAACTAGACTACAGAGGGACGGCAGCAGTTTATGGATCATGTTACTTCATGTTTTTGAACTTTATTAGGGAGATTCACTGAGCCTCCTGATGGGTTTTTAGACACAAGTCAATTTGGATATAAAGGCTCTTTATCTAAACAAATAATCCAGTTGATTGTATGTTTGACCTCCTCTGCCATAAAACACGAGCGTATTTACATAAAATAATTAGATGATCAATTTTTCAACTATTTCGCCTGTGTCCAACATTTTTAAACATCTGAACAAATTGAAGTCCTAAAATGATGAAACATGTTTGTTTAAAAAGATAAACTAGATTGATGATGTTGCTGTTATTTTACTGATCAGTTTGAACCTGCTTTAACTTGGTAAAAAGCCTTTGTCTTAATAATGTATTAAAGAAATCTGACTCTCCTCTAGAAGTGTGAAGTTTCAGCTTTTTAAAGATTTTTGAAAGTATAATTTTCCTTTGAACTAATTCTAATAGTTTTGTTCTTGATTCTGTAGATGTTCTATTTACCTGCTATGATTGAAAGTAACTATCACCTATTTTATACAACTGATTTTATGGATTATATTCTGCTGTGGATGTTTTTAATTATTGTAATCACTTCTAAATTGATGAACGAGCAGCAATAAAAACCTCATGGATTGTAAAAATGTGTTTCTTTATCTGGTTTCATATAAATTAGAAACAATGTTTTTCCATGTTTTCTCTGATATTTTCAGCCAAACTAAAGCTGTAAAATAAATAGTTTAATGGCATTCACCTTCTGTCTTCTCCAGTCTTTCCTGT